ACAACTTTGTCCCTGACCTGTTTGGAGAGCTCCTTGGTCTTCATGGTGCTGCTGGCTTGGTGGTGCCCCTTGCTTAGTGGTGTTGCAGACTCTGGGGCCTTTCTGAACAGGTGTATATATACTGAGATCATGTGACACTTAGATTGCACACAGGTGGACTTTATTTAACTAATTATGTGACTTCTGAAGGTAATTGGTTGCACCAGATCTTATTTAGGGGCTTCATAGCAAAGGGGGTGAATACATATGCACACACCACTTTTCCGTTATTTATTTTTTTGAAACAAGTTATTTTTTTCATTTCACTTCACCAATTTTGACTATTTTGTGTATGTCCTTTACATGAAATCCAAATCCATTTAAATTACAGGTTGTAATGCAACAAAATAGGAAAAACGCCAAGGGGGATAAATACTTTTGCAAGGCACTGTACCAATATACCTGTGAGACTCCCAGGCAGACCAGGGTTAGGAACATAAATTGTATATTAATAATATTACATTGTACCCTCTATTCCTCGGATCTACAGAATATGTTTAATCTGTTAGTTTTTTAGAATTTAATTTATTTAATGAATATTACTAACTTTTATTTATATTTTGAGATATGGCAGTGGACCCTCTGCAGTACCGGGTCCGCAGACACCACTTTGAAAACCCCTGCTCTAATACCATGTTTTGTGGCTCCATCTTTAACAGAAAGCCCAAAAGGGACAGAACCAGGAAAACCAAGGAGGACCAGGTGAGCCGACCGCTCCCAAGAAGAAGAAAGGATTCCTGCCCGAGACCAAGAAGAGAAAGAACCGCAAGAAGAAATTGCCTGTCTCTGAGCAGTGGGCAGCAGATGTCAACACAGTCCCCTTGGGGAAACCCAACAAGAGGAAACAGCCAGGAGGAGAGACACCTGGACTGGGCCCGGCCAAGAAGGCCAAGACGACACAGCCTGCAGGCAAACGGAAGAAGAAAAAGAAGCAGGGAGGAGAATAAAGTGGACTCTCTAGACCAGGGGTGTCAAAAGTCCGGCCCGCGGGCCGGATCAGGCCCGCAAACGGGTTTAATCCGGCCCGCGAGATGATTTTGTAAAGTATAAAAATGCGCTGCAATTTTTCAATAAAATAAACTGCTGTTCCAATTGCGTCCACTGGATGGCGCAATAGCAATTGTGTTAAGCAAGCAAACTGTTTATACCGGGGCAGAGCAAGTAGGTCAAGTCTGTGTTTACTCACAGCCGAGACGTCAGTGACGCTGCAGTGAAAGCTAGCTACCTCATTGCTAATGAAATCGCAGTGGCTTCAAAACCATTTAGTGAGGGTGAATTTGTAAAAACATGCATGATGAAGGCAGCTGAGATTGTGTGCCCTGAAAAGCGTCAGGCTTTTGTAAATATCAGCCTGACAAGAAACACAGTTGCAGACAGGATTTCCGATCTTTCAGTGGATTTGGACAGCCAGTTGAAGCAAAAAGTAAAGTCATTTATTGCGTTTTCTGTTGCAATTGATGAAAGCACGGACATTACAGATGTTGCACAACTGGCCATTTTCATCCGCGGAGTTGATGACACATTGACCGTCACCGAGGAGTTCGTGGAGTTGGTGCCGATGACAGATACAACGACAGCAGCTGATATTTTTACCGCACTCGTCGGCGCGCTGGACAGGGTCGGAGTGGACTGGTCCCGCGCTGTCAGCCTGGCTACAGATGGTGCGCCCTCAATGATCGGGAAAAAAGCAGGCGTTGTGACAAAGTTCAGAGAGAAAGTGCAATCTGCAAATGGAGGACGTGATATTTTGACTTTTCACTGTATTTTGCACCAGGAGGCTTTGTGTTGCAAGTCATTAAAGATGGATAACGTCATGAAGGTGGTCATCCAAACTGTTAATTTCATCCGATCCAGAAGCCTGAATCACCGTTAGTTTGACAGCCTTCTCAGAGAGAAAGACCACATCTATGGCCTGCCATACCACACTGAGGTAAGATGGTTAAGCCGAGGTGCTGAGGCGTTTCTTTGATTTACGAGAAGAAATTGAACAGTGTTAGAATTCCATTCCGCAGAATGGATGCAGGACCTTGCATTTATGGTGGATGTTACAGAGCACCTAAATAACTTGAACAAACAGCTGCAAGGGCGCAACAAAGTTGTCACGCAGTATTATGACAGCATACGTTCTTTCAAGTTGAAGCTGTCATTGTGGGAGACGCAACTTGCCGGTGGTGATGCAGCTCACTTCCCCTGTCTGAAAAATGTGTGCGCGACCCAACATGTGGCAGACATGAAGCGGTTCAAAGATAAAATAACGGGACTGTTACGGGAGTTTGAGCAACGCTTTCAGATTTTTGGTGAACTGGAGAAAGACTTCAACGTTTTTTGCTCGCCATTCACCGTGAATCCCTCTGATCTGCCCGTCAGCATCCAACTTGAAATAATAGACTTGCAGTGTGACTCGGATTTGAAGGGCAAATTTGGCGCAGCTGGCTTGGACACATTTAATCAGAATCTCTTGCCAGGTTACCCCAACTTGACAGCCCTCGCTGCAAAACTGTTGTGCATGTTTGGAACCACATATCTTTGTGAGCAAGTTTTCTCTGTAATGAGCATAAATAAAACAAAGCTGCGCTCAAGGCTCATGCACAAGCACTTGAATCACATCCTGAAGTTGGCTGCCACTCAGGATGTGACGCCTGATATTGATGCGCTGGTGAAAGCTAAAAGATGCCAGGTATCAGGAGTCAAATAAACTATGCAACCCCACTTAAAGTGCTACATGAGACACCCTGATATAGTTCTGTGATCTGTGATATACTTCTGTGAATCACTGAGGCATTGTGTGTTTGTGTGTTCTTTGTCCTCAGAACTTTCAAATAACTTGAGGTGTTTTATGATTAATAGTGATGTTGTGCTTTTGGACACACTGTCCTCAGGCTCCAGCTTTATGTTTATATGTTTTTATGTTGATGTGCTATTGTTTTTAATTGATTTTATTTTATTTGTATATTTAACCTATTCTACTCTGTGGTTCTTGCACTTGTTTGGGGAACAGGATTTCATTCTTTTTATCTACATTTCTGCCTGAGAAATGACCCCCTGATATAGTTCTGTGATCTGTGAAACAGTTCTGTTAATCACTGAGGCATTGTGTGTTTGTGTTCTTTTTCTTTAGAATTTTCAAATAAACTTGACGTGTTTTATGATTAATAGTGATGTTGTGCTTGTACTATTTTGGACACACTGTCCTCAGGCTCCAGCTTTATGTTGTATGTTGATCGTATTAAAACAAAGAAAACAATCTGAAGTTGTTGTTTTTAAGTTATATATACCATGATTTTTCCGGTCCGGCCCACTTGGGAATAGATTTTCCTCCATGTGGCCCCTGAGCTAAAATGAGTTTGACACCCCTGCTCTAGACCGTATTTGTGTGTACACACTCGGGTTGTACAACTGATGTACAAACATATTTTATTGTATCCCAGTTCAGTAAAATGCGTTGCACAACCTGTGTGTACAGGGCCAGAGAGAAAGCCTGTGTTGTGAAGATGGGGCCTCGTGCTCTGGTTTTGTAACTTTGCTCTACGAAGTGCTCCTGTTGATATCCTTTTCTTACAAAGGAATGGTGAGGTTTGTTAGTGGCCTTAGGCTGTGGACATTGCTAGATTGTCTCTTGTGCTCTTCAGGCTGTATGTTCCCTTTGCTTGCCTCCCTACCCCCTCCCGACACACCAGTGTGAATCTTATGCATAATGTTCTCTCATCTGGAGTGTTCACAAGCCTCTGAACTGATAAGATATGTATTAAAATAATAATTGGGAATTGTTTTGTATAAAATGTCAATGTCCAATCCGATCACGCTTTGTCTGCTATGCACCATTTCAAGTCAATTTCGGATTTAGCCGACATATGCAACATTTTCCTTACATGCGTTCTCGGCGAACAAGGGAGCATTGCCTTTAAAAGATGCATAGCTGACATGGCGTAATCAGATTGAATCCCGGGCTTTGGCATTATGCTAGCAGACCTCAAGCCTATTGAATGTGTTGCACATGGTGAAATTATACAGCTTTTATTTATATAAAACATTTGTTACATAGGGTATTATTGAGTATGGCAAGTCGCAGAACAGAATTTGGGACTGTGTTCATTTGGTTGCTAGTTAATTTTTTTTCTTAGTAATTCTGCCAATACAGAGTTTCATCTCAGTCTGGTTCCATCTCAAACCTATGGAGCTGGGTCACTGTAGGCAGATGGAGATTCTCTGGTCTGTCCTGTTTATCCTCAGTACACTGTTGAAGAGACTGGAAGGGAAAGAGTGGTCCAATGAGGAATGGCCTGCGTTGCACCCATAGAGATAGAGACAGCATGGGCAGCACCATTGAGGCAATCTCCATTTTGAAATAGTCAATTTCCTTCTTCACGATTGGCTGATCCCTCCTGATGACCCAGTTGGACATGACGCCAACAAGGTCACCAGGAGGGATTAGCCAATGAAGTTGGAAGTCCCACCCAGTTGACTACATTCAAATGGTGGAAACCGTCAATGGCGCTGCCCACGCCAAAATGGCCTTTTGGCTACTAGAGGCCTCTATCATTCTCTATGGTTGCACCTCAGAAGGTAACGGGACAATACACTCCCAAGTTTGACATTTTTAGACCTCAAAATAGTCTAAGATGAGTCCATGACCCAAGCAATCAGTTGTGTAGACCCAGCTATATGCCTCAACCTCAAATAAATTGAAAGATACGTACAACAAATCTGGAAATAACATGGTTCGTTTCCATTCATTTTTGCTTGTGGATCTACAGCATGGATGACCTGTGACATGGACTCATCTTGACATTATGATTATTTTGAGGTCAGAAAACATCTGACAAACTTTGATTTTGGAGTGTGATATCCCTTTAAGATGGCGCCTGTAATAGTATAATTGGATTGTTACTGGATAGGTAAAGTTAAGGAGCCATTACAGATAAAAGTAATACTAGTTCATAGAGATGGGAGCTGTACTCACTTGCACTGCTGCTCAGGCTGGAGGACATGTAGCTGCTCCCGCCTCCAAAGGACCCACTGCCTCCACCTCCTCCTAACCCCAGACCCCCTCCAAAGCCACCTCCTAGGCCTCCACCCATGCCCATTCCGTAGCCACCGCCCAGACCCATCCCACTGCCTCCTCCTCCTCCCAGGGCCAGCCCAGCCCCACCGCCTCCTCCTCCCAGGGCCAGCCCAACCCCACCTCCTCCTCCTCCCAGGGCCAGCCCAGCCCCACCTCCTCCTCCTCCCAGAGCCAGCCCAGCCCCACCTCCCCCTCCTCCAATGGCTGTCTTAGACATGTGCACGGTCACGCCTCCTCCTGACTTCAGTCTGAAACGATACGCATCACAAATACATTACTATCATAGATATAGGCGTAGTACTTCAGAGAGCGTCAATCAGCGCTTATATGGGTGAACATTTGGATGATGTATGAGACCCTACTCTCTTACCTGGTCTCCTCACTGTCCAGAAGCTTCTTGTATGCAGTGATCTCAACATCCAGAGACATTTTACTGGCCAGGAGTTCCTGGTACTCTTGACCATAGTGTGTTATTTGCTGTAAGAAGAGCATGATTCATGGGTAATACTGCACATGAAAGTGGCTCATATCAGTGTTGAAATTAGTGTATGTTTTTTAGCTGGTGTATACTTGTGGAGGACTCTGTACCCCATCCTTACCTTTCTGATGTCATCCAGCTGTGACTTGAGGGTCAGCACTTGCTCCAGATAGGTCTCTGTGTGGGAGCTGGAGTGGGACTCTGCCTCATCCACCTGAGATTCCAACTGGATGTTCTACAACGGGAGAGATCCGTCCTGAGTATTAACACACTGTGGTGAGCATTAGGTTGTCATGAGATACTACTGGGATACTTACCCTCATACTGTAATTTATTAAATCAATTAAACACATTTTCTTTGAGACAATGTATAATTCCAGTGAATTGCATATACAGCTCAGATTGGCTTTAGGATAGACAAGGTAATGTTCCTACCAGGGTCTTGAGCCTGTCGATCTCCCTCTGTAATGAGTCGATCTGGAGTTTGTACATGCACAGCTCCTCCTTGGTTTGGGTCAGAGACTGGATACTGGGCTGGGATGTCATGGACATCATGGAGAGCTGGGATTTGAAATGATAAAAAGGAGATGTTACATTTTCATGGTGCCTTCACTAGTCTTAGAAGTCTAAGCAAACTTGAGAAATAAACATAACATTTGGGGTTGGATGATGAAGACAATATAGGCTAAAACAGTGTATTCTGAGTGCAATACTAAGAACATCCACTCGGGGGAGACCGCAACACGGATAGGAATGAGAGATAATGGATGTTGTACTGGTTCCAATGGTGTTTGCAAAACCAGTTATAATTTTTGCAACTAGTTATCGGTAGATACTGCCTGGCACACTTGAGATAATGCCGTATGACGTTAACAATACTAGATGGACCAATAGACAAAATGCAGACTAGATACTGTCGGTCGCTGAAGGGTACATACACTGTCCTGCACAGACACCAGGGCGTCCTGCTTGCTGCGCTGGGCCAGGGCTTCGTAGTGGGCCTTGACGTCCGACAGGGCAGAGGTCAGGTCCTGGGCTTGGGCCGCGTTGTCCACCGAGATGGAGAAGGCTGACCTCACACTGCCCGTCACGATGTTCCTCACCTCCTTCACTTTCTACCACACAAAGCACAACAGGAAATGTGTTATGTCTAATGTGCAATTGATTTAATCTTCCTTGTGGCTATGGCAACATAATACAGCTTTTAAAATATGCGTAGTACTGTATATCTGAGCAGTGACAGACTCACAACTGAACTCTGAAAACACATTAGGCACAACATCTGTTGGGCATGTTGCCTTTATTTGAACACTTCCCAATATCGCTTAGGTAAATGTACCGTACTCTTTTTTGATCCCCATGTATACTGTAATCTACTGCAACGGTGTTGTTAGACTAATAGACCCACACTGTCCCTCCTGTGTACCAATTAAGCCATTTTAGGATGCAGATAGTGTACTGAGAGAGTCACACAGGATCTGTAATGTGAATGAATAATGTTGTGAACACTTATGGAAGGTCTGGGTTCAGCAGCGGTGATCATCTGGGTGATTTTAGTGAGAGCGAGAGAGAGAGAAGCAGCAGTGCTTAGTGTTGAGTGCTGGCTGTCAGCTTGTCTGAATCTCCATAATTGATGGAGAGACATTTTAATGCAGTGCCTGGGCAAGGGAGCATCTCCAGAGGGCTAAGGAAGGAATGCTTTTACTGGTGGAGTACAGGAGCAGACAAGGAACAGTGCATATGTATAATTCTAATACAAATGTGAACCAAGAGGAAAAAAACGTTTACAATTTTTCATGTTTCCTGTGAGAAAGTTATTCTCTTGAGTTTTCCAGTAAAAGAGTTTGTCATCATATACTCACAGTGTCATACACCTGCTTTGAGAGACCGATCTGATCTTCCAGTCCGCCAATGTTGGTTTGAAGCTCGAAAATGCTCAGGTAGAGATTGTCCACCTCCTGTTAAAGCATGAGAGTAGTGTTTTTAGTAGCCATAACAGAATGTGATTCATTATTTCAATTGTTTGAATAATCCTTTGGTAGTTTCATAACACCATGATGTATCCATACCTCTTTGAATGTGGTCCAGTCCATCTCTAATGACTTGGTTTGGGCTGTCTCCTCCTCAAACCTTTCAACATAAAACCAATAGAAGGTTTTATATCAATTAACTTTCAGTCAAATATATGCATTAGGTTTCATATATCATCAATGGCTACAATTCTGCTTCATGAGTTTAAAGGATAATATATTGTGTACTCGGCTGAAACAAATGTGGGTATTTGTTATTCATTTTCACAGCATCAATTGAATCTCAAGTTGTGTGTTGGTAGGATGCAGATTCTCTTTGGATCAAAAGTCTAAAGAATCTGCTGCTGGAGACAATGAAGGCTATTATTGGATTTTGCACCAACTGAGCATTAAATGCACTGATCTGCTGAGGTAATTATAAAGCAAAGTCACCACATTTACATGAGGCTGAGAGCTTTCTCTCCTCAGACCTGGTGCAGCAGGCAGATCAGTGACTTATTAAACACTAGACCCCACTGTATGTACTGTATTGTGGATTCACTGCATTGTGTAATGTGTGGTGTTGTGGGGACACTATTAACTGTACTGTATCGTGTATATAGTCTATGTACTGTATTGTGTATATAGTATATGTACTGTGTTGTGTATATAGTCTATGTACTGTATTGTGTATATAGTCTATGTACTGAATTGTGTATATAGTATATGTACTGTATTGTGTATATAGTCTATGTACTGTATTGTGTATATAGTCTATGTACTGAATTGTGGGGTCACTATACTCACTGGATTGTGTATTATAAGGTCTATGTTTATTTCATTATGGTGCCACTGTATTGTGAGGTAATCTACCCTAACCCTACGCTAACCCACCCACCTGCTTTGGACATTGTGGATGATGCTCTTGTAGTGCTCAATCTCAGCAACGATGGCCTCCTTGGTGGCGGACAGGCCATCAATCTGGGTCTTGTAGGTACCGATGGCAGAGGTGAGCAGGATGGAGGTGCTGGCAGGGCCGCTCTGCTCCGGGTTGGTGAACATGGCGATCTTGGTCCTCAGCACAGCGTTGGTCTGCTCCAGAGAGCGAGCCTGGGGACCACAGACCATTGGAGAGAAAGAGAGAGAGAGGGAGGCCAGATCGATGAATACAGTACACACATAGAAATACAGTCTGGTGTTCCTCTTCAAGAATGGGTCTGAATTTCAATGAGCTTGATTGCTTTTGGACATTGATGTTCATTCCAGTGGGTCTGTTCTTTTGTATTTAGTCAGATCAAATCATATGCACAAAATACACTGAGTGAACAAAACATTAAGAACACTGCTCTTTCCATGACAGACTGACCAGGTGAAAGCTATGCTCCCTTATTGATGTCACTTGTTAAATCCACTTCAATCAGTGTAGATGAAAGATGAAGGGGAGGAGACAGGATAAAGAAGGATTTTTAAGCCTTGAGACATGGATTGTGTATGTGTGCCATTCAGATTGTGAATAGGCAAGACAAAATATTTAAGTGCCTTTGAACGGGGTATGGTAGTAGGTGCCAGGCACACCGGTTTCAGTGAGTCAAGAACTGCAACGCTGCTGGGTTTTTCACGCTCAACTGTTTCCCGTCTGAATCAAGAATGGTCCACCACCCAATGGACATTCAGCCAACTTGGCACAACTGTGGGAACCATTGGAGTCAACATGGGCCAGCATCCCTGCGGAACGCTTTCGACACCTTGTAGAGTCCATGCCCCAACGAATTGAGGCTGTTCTGAGGGCAAAAGGGGGTGCAACTCAATATTATGACGGTGTTCCTAATGTTTTGTACACTCAGTGTACAACCGATAACAATGTTGACTGCCTACATGAGCATTGCTGTCAATTCCAAAACCAGGACAATCTAATACTATCCTCAACTGGTTTAAGCACAAACATAAATTATGCATAGGTCAATCCACATCTGTATGAGAAATCCTCCTAGGTTATAAAAGGTCACGCCCTGAGAGGATTAGGGTGTGTAGGATGTTGATGGGTAGAGGATACTGATCAACATAATGTTCATTAATTTGATCAAGCAGAAGTACATAGAGTTTAATTAATTTGGTGGTTCGAGTACAAATTAAGAAGAAGCATAGCTAATTATTGTATTCTTAAAGTGCACTTAAAATATTAATGTGTAATGGTTTAAAATTAATGAATTAATTAAATGAATTAATGAAAAGTCTGAAGCATAGTGGCTAAATACCAACATAAATGTTCATTGATGATTAATTATAGACATTAAAGATATTGCCTGTATGCCGTGTGTAATGTTTGCGTGACATACCTTGTCAATGAAGGTGGCAAACTTGTCATTGAGGACCTGCAGCTCCTCCTTCTCCTTTAGGCGGGTCACCTGGACTGTGTCAAGGGAGGGCAGCGAGGGGTCGATGCTAGGCACGGGGCTGATACCACCCACGTCACCACCCACTGCGGCGGTGGAGCTTAGGAAAGACGGGTTGAAGCCATAGTCTCCGATCTTGAAGACGCGGCCGCCCAAGCGAGCCCTGAGTGGGGCCACGCCGGACCTGAACCCTGCTGCACTGACACCTCCACCGCCGGCTCCTAGAGCCAGGGCACGTCCACCCATTCCCATGCCCATCCCAAGACCGCCTCCACCTCCACCACCCATTCCCAACCCCATACCCAGGCCTCTCCCATTTCCCATGCCTAGCCCCATCCCGAGCCCTCCTCTCATACCGAGTCCCGCTCTTCCACCCCCGCACATTCCAAAAGATCTGGAGAGGGCCATTCCGGCCCCTACACCGCCACCTCCACCACTCCTGCCCCCAGAGAAGAGCCTGTTGCCCCCATAGGTGGCCCCGAACCTCACCGCCCCGCCACTGATTCTCAGGTTAGTCTCCGCCATTTTAGCAGCAGCCTCAAAGCTGGGGTGTCCAAGCTCAGAGTGCTATAGTCACAGGCAGACAGACTGCCAGGCTCCTAGTGTTTTATATACACTAGGGCCCTGTAAGGGGGAAGCTGGCCTCCCAGGCTACCCATTCCCTGGGGAGGTGGCTCACGTCACTGCAGGTAGCTGGGCTCACAGGCAGGACAGAGTCTGCCCGACAGGCACTCTACTCCCACAAAAGTGTCAGGAGTGATACTGCTGCCCCCCAGGCACTGATGTCTTTCCAGAAGCTCAGCCTCCCTGACTCATGTTGCCTTTGCACTGGATGGATGTTTATCATGGGTTTTCTCCACACCAAGGCTTCACTTACCACGGCTGTTAAATTGCCTGGCAAGGACTGATCTCCGTTTTATCTTCGAATGTCGTCCTATCGAGCCCTCATTCTTTTGAGATTTTACCGCTTCACTGAGGGCTTCGCTCATAAATCATTCCCTGGGCTTTGCCTGTGAGGGGATGGTGAATATTATATCACTGAACATTCTTGGATGAGCATCCCCTAAGGATGAGTAGCAGGGCTTTTGACAGAGGCATATGGTATGCAACATGCTGGAACAGACTATATAGGAGCTTTAGCATTCAACCCACCAGGTGGGTGATAGTGGATGGGGCGGGTATCCACTCCATACAATGTACAGTAAAAAAGCTGTAAACACCTAGAAAAGTGCATTCCAAACCGATCATCTTTCTTCATGTAAAATTGTTCAGTTCTAGGTAATCTCCTTTGTCCACTCCATTGAGCTCAAACTTGTCCATACCCATATCAGCCCTAAAAAGAGTAATCAACTAAACATGCAGCTCGCTTTGAGTTTTCACCTTCCTTATAACCTTGTAATGCAAATCCAATCACAAAGAGTAAATAGCAGGGATCTATTTGTCCCAACAGTCCCCAATAAGATTAGTCTGGGGCCAGCTCTGCTGAGAGACTCCCAGCAGCAGTGTGTCCAATAGGAGCTGGAGCCCAGCCAGGGATGAGGGCCCCAGGGCTTGTCTTTGAGGAGACAATTAGGAACATGCTCTCCTGGCACCTGGCCATGGGCCCCAGTCTCACTGGGAGTGACTGCTCCTGGCCCGCCGCCATAGACTCCTCTTAGAGGAGAACCTGTCAAAGCACTCAACTCCCCAATGAGCCAGCCAATCAGAAGAGTGGTAGGCGTGGCATTAGACTCAATTAAGTCAAGGGTAGGGCTGTGGTTATGGGTAGAGCCAAGGTTCTTTGAGAGGATCCATTCTACCCTCAAAGTGAAGCTCAGAATGCATTGGGGGTTTCCAATGTCACAATGTTAAATTATGTTACAGGGTACATATTTAAAAATAGTTTGTTTTGAGGTATAAAAAGAGACATAAAATGTCACTTGCATTACAAAGAAAAAAAGCATTAAGAAACATTTGTTTATGATTCCCGATTTATTACATTTCAGAGGATACATTATAAATACTGAAACTGCTAAATTAAGACCCACAGCTACCATCTGGCACATGAAAGTTAATGAAATCTGGAAGAGTGCATTATTACAAACCAAACGCAGATTAGGATGTCCTTTATATCAACTACCAATACAAATACATCATTTAAATGAAACTATGTAACTCTGATAATAATGATTTGTGTCTATTTTTTAATTGCAACAGATTACAACTTAAGCCTCTTGCCACACTTTTAACAAAGCCAAAAGCCTGAAGTAGGTTTGTGAAACCTTGTCAAACATGACTTAAAAGCTATATTTGATAGCTCCTGTAAAACTTTGTAAAAGGGTGCTATACATAGCACATGCCAATCAGAGTCTAGTTCCTCTCAAGGTATCTTCCGACTTCTACTTGCTCTTCGTTTGAAAGCGTTGTCGAAATAAAATAAAATAGATTGACACTAAGAGGAATGCATGGTCGCCAGAGCATATTACATAAAATGTGCTATGTCACCCATTTCAAGCCTAACAGTAGCTACTGAATGATGTATAAAGTGAATCTTGTTATGTGGTACTGGTTTTAAAGTAACTGTCCAGTGTTTTCAGATTTCTATTAAATATGACCTATAATTATTTACAATATGAGTGAAATAGTTTTCCTTCCAAATAAGTGTAATTAAGTATGTTAAAAAGCAGTTTTTCTATGTTGGAATGGTGTGGGTGTACCCCAACAACAGAATGGTGCGCATATCACTATTAAAAATATTCATGCGGGTAGACTGTTGATTGGCCAGCTCATCCTCCTCAGGAAGATGACATCATCCTCTATAAGGAAATAGCAAGCATTCTTTAAAATGGTCTGTTTGAGATACAAGTTTGAGGTTTATTTTTATGCTTTGGTCACAAATACGAGTATAGGATGAGTCAACAACATTATTTGGGTATGAGATAACATAATATGAACTTTTAAAAGTGAGATTTTCACTGGACAGTTACTTTTAAAAGGGTTGAGTGAACATGTGGGAATAGTCCTTTAGGTAGAAATCTAATTCTACAATTTGCAAGTTCAGGAGTAGAATAGTAGTTGTAGAAATAAATACTTTAGAATACTTTAAGGACAACTAGCAATTTACATCTACACAAGGAAATATATGAATGTACAGTATCTACATTTCAGCAATATGGACAGCGCTCTTTCTAGTGGACATCATTATCCTTCACCCATAGGCTTTCTTCAATTTACAATACTTTACCAAATGGTCCTTTGCTGAAATTATCCCACAAATATATTCTAATATACTGAATTATTCTACTTTTATACACGATTTATAAACGTGGCACAGATATTAATCCACTGAGTGTGATTTATGATGAAATGGCAAACATAGTTCCTTGAGGTCATAGTGTTTGTTTTTGTGCCATATTGCTTATCCCAGTTTATCCCAAATTGACGTTGAGAGTTTCTTTCAGTCAGTTACAGCTGAACGATAACGTGGATATGTTGTCTATTTACAAAGTCCCAACATTTTCAACTGCAGCGTTATCAAGACAAGACGACCGTTTCCAGGACTTGTCCATCTCCTTGCTCAATGTGTGCCATATCCAATTCTGACTCATTCTTTGCAATGGGTAAGGTATCAGGGTCCTCCTGAATGTGACAACTGGTATTTTGGACAACGCAGTGTGGCTGGTGTTCGCTATCTGGAGGCGACGGTCGGACAATAATGCATGGTCTCGTGGGTTCTCTCTTCGCCTTGGTGGACGGGCTGCGGTTGTCACGCTCGTATTCCTCCTGGGCACGCTGGATCTTCCTGTTCTTCATCCTCCTCTTGTTAAAGTGAAATGCTGCCAGGGAAACCAATATTATCCCAATGATCATGGCCAACAGCACCATGAGCGCAAAGGTCGAGGAGAACGGTTGGAAGAAGCGGTCCATTTGGTCCATGCAGGTGCTGTTGGTTTGGGAAGCCCCGTTGTAGATGCACAGTGGTATGGAGAGACTCACATCCTCGGACTCCTTGGTTGTCATTTCGTTGGGGTTTGATTTTCACTTCGGGGTGGTAGGCTAATGTCCTCCTCTCCAACCTCAGTGCGACGAGGCAAATGGAATCAAACGCCTTGATTGTCCCATTAGATTTACCTAAATGGAAATTAAAACCCCTTTGAGATCAGTAGCAAAATGTTACTATACAATACGCCAATGACATTGAGTAGGGGGACTTACATTAGCCTATATGCCCTCCGTGTATAGGCTCACCATTCATGGCACGCCCGATTAAATAATTGAAATAATTGAAAGGACTATTAGGCGTGCGTAATTGCGCGTCAATTTTGAGATAACAACAAATTCATGGCTCTAATGAACAGAAATCAGAATTATTATTATATTTGGACGACAGAGACATGATTAAATTCCATACAATTCCAATCAATTTACCGCAAAAGTTCCCATGTGAATAGTTTCAATATGAGAAAATGGAAAGGATGCATTTAAGCCCTGCATCTGCAGCATATCTTATATCATATACTACAATTCTTATAGCCCAATTAAACGAATTTCCTTACATGAAACACAAGACATGGTCATTACCATGACGTAGGGTAATTTCAAGAGACAGACATTTAACAGAACAATAGGAACGTACCTATTTCAGACTGTTTGAGGGGAAAATATATGCTTTAATCTCTTACCTGGTGATACTGTCTAGTCGAAGCCGTTTCAGAGTCGAGGACCGGCCGGAGTGACGATATGGGGAGCGGAGAGAATTCTCATGGATCACAATGACGTAGCCTAGCACACAATGCAAAAGCTGTACTCTGTTCTTTTTACAGTCTATGGTTCACACACACACACACACACACACACACACACACACAGTGGATGCACATCTGTGTTCCACATTCATCCCTTGAGTCTACATCGCCTCTTACAGGCTCCTCTGCTTCTGAAAAGCATAGAGGAAATTAAAGTAGAACATCAAGGGTATACCAACAGATACGCGAACAATAAACGGAACAATTTTGGGTAATATATTCAGGCGAAAAACTGAGTCCACATACAGTACCTATGCGCCTTGAACACCTACTTACTTTCTATTAGTCATCACATGCGTGCACAATCACTTCAGCACTAGCATGTAAAATAGTGTGGAGCTGTTCCTGCGCTAGTGGTGCTGAAATCATCCGCACGACCATAGTCAGTCGATTTACGACTATCAACATTTAATTTCGCGCACTTTAAAATTTTCACATGATCATGCCTTAAATTGCTAAAACAAAGCTTTTGACCTTAAATGCGCAATCTGCAGTTACTACATCTATTTTTGGAGTTATAAATTAAAGATACTGTAAGCACTCATTGATTCTTGAAGAATAGTACACAAATGCATCATGAGCTTATTTTAACTGTCTAACCCCATCAGAACCCCAAATATATATATATATATATATATATATATATATATATTTTTTTTTTACTTCAATGTTTGTTAACAAAGTAAATGTAAACAAACACTATACAACCTCAAAACATGGTTAAAACTATAATTGTGATATCATGGATGGTCAGTCCTTGCATCCATAGCTCTGTCTATGAATTTGAGAGTATTTACATTTCACCAACCCCATCCCTCTGCTTTTTGTCGAAACAGGGGCAGAGAAATGACTGTTATTGTTTCAACTTTTGATTGCCCCTATAAGTTGACCTTATTTAAATGCATTCGGACTGCCATGGTGATGCAGTTTGGCTAAAAACATAAAGCTGGTGTCAAAGGAATTGA